CGTTGTCATGAACCACTTCTTTTTTCACAAGGGGTTCTCGATAAATATTTTGAACTTGACCAATCAAATAGTGGCACTCTCGTATCGCATATAAAGGCATGAAATGACTTTTTATTGCTTCTTGATACCAATACAATGCCTTTATGTAGTCTTCTTGGCATCCTATGCTAAAATGAAAACATTTGCCAAGCAATAATTTAATTGGCCCAGGAGATGTGGGAAATGATTCACAAACAGATCTTAATAGTTCGAATGCTTCACGGCGATTTTGTAAAGTATTCACTGATGTTCCATCATTTAAAAGATTTAAAGCATATTCAACTCTACCTCCCCAATATATATCACTTTTACTGGAACATTTGAACCATTCGATCGCTTCTTTTTTATCTCGGTTTGTACCGAGTCCTAATAATTTACAATTTCCCACAAATTTCATTCCTTGAGGATCGCCTAAATGTGCAAGTTGAAGATAAATATTGTATGCCCTTTTATTATCAACTGCAGTTCCCACCCCATAACGAAGACAATATGCAAGGTTAAACATCGCGTCTTGATTTCTAATAGTAATAATAATGGTCATTAGTATTATTTGATTCGTGAAAATATATATATAATGTATGAGAAAAATCTTTACCCCATATGAACAGCGCGTTCATAATAATCGATTGCACGCGTTGCATCAGCTTGAACTCCTATACCCATTTGAAAACATATTCCAAGCTGACATAAAGAGGCAGAAATTGGATTTCCAGAATTTGCAATCTCTAAATATAGTTCCACTGCCTTTGTTTCATTTCTGTATATGCATGTATATATGTATGTATATTTGATCATTATTATTATTATTTGTCATTATCATTATTATTATTATTATAATAAATAAATTTTATTTACTTTGGGACGCCAAATCCGTGTTGTAGGCAGTATGCGACTTGATGTTTTCCCTTTTGCGAACCAAAATTGGCCGCTATGAAAAAACATTCAAATGCAATGCGAGGCTTACGAGGCTTTGCATTATGAAGTAGATATTGACCTTGTTGATTTAATGTTTCTGCTTGATTCAATGTCGCAAATTCAGGATGGATTTGAGTATTCATCCATCCACCATTTAGCATTAATCTTTCGTTATTAGGTGTTGTTGGTGTTGGTGGACAGATGATGTTACTATTATTACTATTATTATCATAATCAATAGTTGGAATTTTCTCTTTTTTTATTATTATTGTTATTATTTAAAAGAGGAGAAGAAAGAAACGCACATTCAATTGTTAGTGTTAACAGAACTATAAAAAAGCCGTAAATTAAACAACCAATTATAACGTATCATTCAATTCACCATATTTCGCAAGAAAATAAATAGTAAGCCTTTTAGAAGATTTTTTATTAACCAAATTATTAAAGGATTTGGTAATGATGACGTTCCTTCTTCACCTGCGAAATATGGTAATCAATATTGAGGTCATAATTTTATATTTGTTTACTTGTTTAATACCTTGTGGACTTTCTTCAAAATTCTATGACATAATTTAAATAAAATTTTTTACAAAATAAACTTTTAAAATCAACTCTTTCCAAAAAAAATTATTTATATAATAATAATAATAATCAGAATAAGTAGTATAATGAACCTCTTGCAACTTCATTCCATGAGGAAACTGAAGTTGTGAAACATTAGCGGCAATTTGTGAAGTGTATGGTATGGTAGAGATGATGTTAGGAGGAAAATGTGGATAATGTTGAGTTATACATGACGACGACAATGTATTTATTTCTTTATTTCCATATTCAGGGCTTAATAACATATTAACATGAAGCAACCCCAAAACATTGTGAACCTTATAGAGAATCTTGATTTGTAAATGTTGTGGAGAGCATGTAGTAAGTGGGTTAAAAAAGTTTGTTAAATAATGGTTTAAATTTGGTGTCAATAAAAAACCTCGAGAAAAATTTTTTAAAAAAATTTTTTTTTAAAAGGTTTGACGATCTAAAGTCATGTGTGCGTATCACTACGGTTTTTTATAATGTGTGTTAACGTCATACATAATTTTTTTTTGATTAGATTGGAGAAATTTAATGAATTTGCAAAGGAAATCGCATTATTAAATACTATGGTATTAAGTTATAACAAAGAAACTTGCATTGTCTTTTTAACAAGCAATTCACACGATCTTATGCCTTATTGTTAGTAATTATTGGATGAAAAAAAAAATTTTTTTTGTTCCTTAATATTAATTTTAGGATATTGTAGATAGATAGTGCATGTAATAATGGTCTTCTAGATTTATTATTCTAATAATGTTGGACTGTATGCACGAAAAAACATGAAAATTTTATATTGATTCATTAAAAAAATAATAATAATTACATCATTTAAAAAAAATAATTAATTACATCATTGAAAAAAAATTTTTTTTTAGTGAATGAATGGATGAATGAATGTATGTCGAATGCTACTATTATTCAAAAAAATTTTCATCAGGTGGGATAAACAAAAAAAAAACAACTAAAAAAGAATTTATTGAAGAAAGTCATAATTTAAAAAAGCTGTTGATGCGTAGGTTGTTTGAAACGTGATTAAAAAAATAGATAAAGAAATCTAATTACCATATTTAGTTCCGCCAAATTCAAAAGTTTCAACACATTTTCTTTCAAGAATATGAAATAAAGCACCATAAACAAACTTACATTTATGTAGCAAATATAACTGTATTAACTGTAATGAAATCGATGTGCCACTATTTGATTGGTCAAGTTCAAAATATTTATCGAGAACCCCTTGTGAAAAAAGAAGTGGTTCATGACAACG